TTAGGGAGTAATCAGGCTGGCAGTGGGGAGCAGTTAGGGGGCGATCAGGTCGGCAGGCAGAGGTGGTTAGGGGTGATCAGGCCAGTAGGGATGGAATTAGGGGCATCAGGCCGGCAGGCAGAAGTGGTTAGGGGCGATCAGGCAGGCAGGCAGGCAAGCCAGGTGGTTAGGAGCCTGCAGTCCCAGATTGTGAGAGGGATGTCCCCTGAGGGGTCCTGGATTGGAAAGGGGCAGGCCGGGCTGAAGGACGCCCCCCACCCCCCACATGAATTTCGTGCACTGGGCCTCTAGTTATAAAATATTTAGGCAGTGTTCAAATGTCCCCAATTATCTCATGATTTCTTTTTGTTCTTGGCTTGCTCAAATCAGGATCCAAATAAGACTCACAGACTGCATTCAGTTGAAATGTCTCTTGTCTTTTTTAATCTATAGACCTCTTTTTCCTCCCTTGCCATATATTTATTGAATAAAGTGGGCTATTTGTCTTGTGGAATTTTCAACATTCTTGGTTTTGCAGATTGCATCTTCACGGTAGTGTTCAACCTGTTCCTTTATTACCTGTAATTCCTATGTACCTGGAGGCTCATCATCATTATTAGTAATATTAAAGACTTCACTTCCAAGACCAGCACTTTCCATGTATGACATCTTGCCACAGTGAGTGAGGCGGGTCCCAAACTCTCTGGAGGCAACAAAAAAGAGGATAACTATTTTGCAGTAATGCCAGGTCTAGTCCCTGTTGACTTTACAAACAAAAAACACCTGGCTAGAATCCATCATTAGGTGCATGATAGCTGTCTACTAGAATGTGTTGGGCCTTCCCTTTGTGCCTGAGAATGAGCATGGACAGGTGGGAAGAATGTGAACTTGGGAGTTAGGGAGCTCTAGATTAGAACTTTGACTTTGCCTTTTATTAAGATCATGCCTTTCCTAGTTAATATTTTTTTTAATATATTTTATTGATTTTTTACAGAGAGGAATAGAGAGTTAGAAACATCGATGAGAGAGAAACATCAATCAGCTGCCTCCTGCACACCTCCTACTGGGGATGTCCCCACAACCAAGGTACATGCCCTTGGCTGGAATTGAACCTGGGACCTTTCAGTCTGCAGGCCGATGCTCTATCCACTGAGCCAAACCAGCCAGGGCCCTAGTTAATATTTTTTCATCTCAGATTTTTTATATAAGAGGATAACATTTATCTTACCCGGCTGCTGAGATGCACCTGCCGTGTAGCATGTGTTTGTTTGTTTCCTTCCCTGCATAAGTTAAAAATAAGAATTTGCATCTAAAACAACAAATCCATAGAGTTTGTTTAGACCCAAATGCAAATGTAGCATTCACCAACTTCATAAATAATAGAGAAAGGAGGTTTTCATGCACATCCTTCGAAAGACTATGCAGAAAGGGAAAGGAGCTGAGAATAGGAAACATAGCTCTCTTTCCCTCCTTGTAATCAGGAAATTCTTTCCAAAGAAAGCATGACCCATTCTAGCCTAAAATTTTGCTATTCTCTGGACGGTGCTGGCTTGAGAACGTATTTCTTTTACCAAAAGATGAGTTCACAGTAAATGACTCAGAGACATATGGATGAAATTTCCCTTAAGCCACTCAGGGGATTAGAAATTAAGGGAAAGAGTGCTTGGCAAAATGCATTTGGGGTTTTGCCAAACCTAAACCAACTGAGAAATAGTTAAGACACAAGGCAGATCTCGAATGCTGCCAAGTTTACCCATCTTAGCAGGACAGGGATTTATAATTAGAGCTGCTCAGAAAAGCACTGCCTCTCGGGTGGCAAAGGACAGAAAAGCCTTTGTCCTCACCGTCTCAACGGGCTGCTCGCTCCCAGACGGACCCTTTACAGTGTTCACCCCTCTTCATCATCAGGGTCTGCACAGCCACCTCCTGGCCACTCGGTTCCCCTTCCACAGCAGGCCCCCACCATGCTCTCCAGGCCTCTTTTGTTTCCAGGCCAGGCTGGCTGTTTCTCACAGCGAATCCCTGGATGAGGGAGAACAAATCTTCACGGGCGTCTTGAATTACAGTGAAGAGCTGTGGTGGGAAAATATGACAAAACAATTTCCTTGCTGGACACAATTTTTTGGTCTTCTGTCTCTCACCCTTGTCACCTTTCCACATTTCTCTGCTTTCCATGGGGTTTTTTTTCTCTGTAAGATGAGGGAATTGGATCAGATGTTTTCCAGCTGTGCTGCTGGAGCCTTTTGCAGGTGGAAGGGTGAGCCTCAATAGTTCATCTCTCAGGGCCTTTGTGGTCCATAGGAAGGACTTAGTGGTGTTAGCTGTTACTGTTCTACCACCACCATCCACCATCACCACTAGCACCATCAATACCATCACCACCACCACCACTACCATCACCCTCATCACTACCACTATCACTACCACCATCACCACCACCAGCACCACCACCTTCACCACCAGCACCATCACTATTATCACCATCATCACCACCACCACTATATCCAGTTAGAGATACATATCTTTTCTTTCCTTTTTTTTTTTGCAATTATACGCTACAACTAGATTAGCAAACTGCTACCTGGTATAGAAACTTAGGAGAATTGCTGTAATAAAGAATGATTTGTGTTTGGTATCATTTTTTTGGTAGATAAGTAGTCATTTCTTATCTACTTAAGCAATATTTGAAAACAGAGTGCCCTTCTGTGTGGACTGAAAATATCCTCTAGAGTTTTGTTTGCATTATCAACTTATTTAGCACACTCTTTCTGCTTAGCAACCACCCCCACTCCCCAGGCCCTGTCCTTTTAATTAACAACCTGTCACTGTATTTCAGTGTTTCTGTTGAGGCACACCAAGTGAGCCATGAAAAGTCAAAACATATCACTTCACATAAAAACAACATTTGCTGAACTTCTCCTACAATTGGGCTGGTCAGATGAACTGCTTCTTGGGGACCAGAAATCGAACCTACTGAGCTTATGTGAAAGACTGAATCAAGGTGCGCAGAGAGTGCGATTGGCAAGGGGTGAGGGTAGCAGGGCAGAGTTACAGGACCAAGAGTTGATATAGAGAGAGAGAGAAAGAGAGAGAGGAAAGGAGAGGGAGAGAGAGCGTGAAACATCGATCAGCTGCCTCTTGCAAACCCCCTACTGAGGATCCAGAGGATTGAGCCTGCAAACTGGGCATGTGCCCATCCGGGAATTGAACTGGAAACCTTTCCATGCATGCGATGATGCCCAAACAATTGAGTCACACCAGCCAGGGCTGGACACTTATTTTAAACCACCTCTTTTGTGCCTTAAAGCCCCAGTGCCGCATAGCTGACACCTGACAGATGTGAATTTTGCATAAGTTCATTCATGTGTTCCATCAGCACGTAACGATTAACTTCTAACATATGCCCAGGATGCTCTAGGGTTGCAGCAGTGAGCACGGCATCTGCCTCAGTGCTGCTTACATACTGGCAGAGGAGAAAAATCAAAAACAAATAAAGAAACTGTTAACTATAATTCAGGTTTGATAAGTGTCAATAAGGAGTGAAGCAGAGTTCGGACATAATAGTAGATGATGGCATGTGTGTGTGAGAGTGTGGACAGTATGTGTTTCCACTGGCTAATTCAGTTAGCTCCATCAAGGAAGGCTGCTCAGAAGGAGTGACATTTGAACAGACAGACCTGAGTGAAATGAGAAGTGAGTTAAGTGAGTGTGCCTGAGCTAAATGGAAACCACACGTCACCATTATTACGAACTGACCTAAGTCAGTTTGGTCACGAGGCACAACTATTGGGTTCTTGATAGTTGAGGATAGCTACTGAGAGAAAATTGAGGTAAATAAAGGCAAAATACTCCCCTACAACTGTCCTCGGAGTTTGTAAAGAAAGCAAATCTACCAAACCCGCTCATTCATACAGAAATTATTAAGAAATGTTTTACTACCAGATTCAAATAGTATGCACAAGCTGATGAACTCAATGGAGACCCAGTACTCTGTCCTTTTAGGAGCCCTGAGTAAGACGGTCACTTGAAGTAGAGGCAACAGCACATCAGAGACATGATTCTGTTTCACTGAAACCCAGCAACAGGTGAACAGAGCTCCTCCTAACCAATGCACAGACAGTATAGGATTAAGCCTCAGGACCCATCCTTAAGGCTACACACTTGTGATGGTTAATTTTATGTTTCAACTTGGCTAGGCTGTGGTACCCAGATGCTTGGTCAAACACCAAAGTGTTTCTGTTACTGTGAAAGTATTTTAAGATGTGATTAACACTTAAATTAGTAAACTGTGTAAAGCAAATTACTCTCCATGGTGTTGGTGCGTCCAATCAGTTGAAGGCTTTAAGAGCAAAGGCCAAGATAATCTTAAAGAAGAAGGAATTCAGACTCCAGACTGCAACATAGAGATTCTGCCTGAATTTCCAGCCTTTCAACTCATGGATTGATTCAAGAGTTGCAACAATAAGTCTTACTTGAATTACCAGACTGCCCTGCCCTTCAGATTTTTGGAGTTGCTGTCCACCACAATCACATGAGCCAATTCCTTGAAATCTCTCCCCTCTGCCCCCACCATTGGTTTATTTCTCTAAAGAACTCTGAACTCATACAGATTTTAGTTCTGGGAAGTGGAGTGCAGGTGTAACAAATACCTAAAAATGTAGGAGTAGCTTTGGAATTGGGTAAGAGTAGAGGCTGGACAAATTTAAAGTGCACAAGAGCAAAAGCTTGGATTGCCTTAAAGAGATTGTTGGGAAAGAGTGAAACATCAATGGCTGCCTCCTGCAGGCCCCCCCATCGAGGATCAAGCCAGCAAATGGGGCATGTGCTTGACTGGGAATTAAACTGGCAACCTTACCATGTGTGGGAAGACATAAATGTTAAAGCAGATTCTGATGAGAGCTCAGAAAGAACAGAGCTGCAGAGCAAGTTTCCATTGTCTTAGAGAATACATACATCAACATGAACAGAATGTTGCTGGGAATATACTCATATTCCTAATGGTGCTTCTTGTGCTCTCTCAGATACTGGGACACAGACACAGACAGGCATGGAGGCAAGATGATGTGAAGAGACACCGGGGGAAAAGAGCCACCCACAAAGCAAGGAGAGGCCCAGCACAGATCCTGTCCTCACAGCCCTCAGAAGGAACCAGCTCTGCCTACACCTGGATTTTGGACGTCTAGCCTCCAGAACTGTGTGCCCACACAGATGTGTTGGTGAAGCCACCCAGTGTGTGGAGTTTTGTTCTGGCAGCCCCAGCACTTTATTCCTGTGCTATGAGCCTCAGTGGTTTCTTACAGCCCATTTGTCACCAGTCGAGTGTGCCAGGAGCAGGTGCTGAGACAAGATTTGGGGTGCAAAATGTTTATTAGGGATCAAACCCTGTAAGAGGAAGGGGAAGGAGCCATCATAAGAAACAAATGCAAATGACATGACACCAGTTAACTTATATGGCCAGCTAGTCCTGCTTTAAAAATAGAAAAAGCTCAAAATAATTAATATCAGAAAAAGTATAGATGATCTTCAAACTTGATTTATACCTATTACACTCTTTATTAGTTTATAAAGAGTATAACATAATTAAGGGTTTATCTATTTTCATATGGAGGGAGCTTTATAATCTACTAGTATTACTTGGATGGAATTTTTAATGCTAATAACAATATTTTATGAATGTTAAGGCAATACTAATATTTAGTTAGAATTTAAGTCAATATAATTTAAGGTAAATATTTTTTTCAAAAAAGGATGGGGAAGGGATTAAGATTGGGCAGAGGGAAAAGTTGAATGATAATGTACATGCAAGGAGGCATCAAGCAAACCAGTATTGAGCTCTGGACTTAATATTGTCCACCAGGGTTGTCTTGCATTGGGTCAAAATGACTGGGCCTTTCTCCCCATCAGGCTCAGTCACTGGATACAGGCTGCCACAGGAAGGGTGGCCTCAGGCAAGGAGGCTCTACTGAAGCCGACCCTGAAGGAGTGGGCAGTGGAGGTTTCCTTGAAGGGAACCTGTCTACACATCTCACATCTCCCACGCTGCTCGTGGGATAGTGAAGAACAGTACACCGCTAAAATATTTTAGCCAATCTACATATCTTGAATACCTTTAATTTCATCAACAAGAGTCCATTTCTAATACCATACTTTTTAACAAACTAATTTCAACAATAAAAATTAATTTCTGACATTCAAATGCTAATGCACAAAGCCTCAGGTGTTCAGTGAGCTGTCCACCACAGAAACTCTTGAAGTGGCTTTTCTGATAAAACACTAGGTGACTACCCTGGAGGGGAATTTTCCATTAGAGCAACTGGCGGCCCTTAGAGTAAGGAAGAGCAAGACTAACTGCCTTACCGAAGTGTTTTAAAGTAAGTCACAGACATCCCAACAACTTCCCCTTGTCGCTGTGTCTGTGACACCTACTCTCTCATCTTGCTCAGTCAAACTGTCTTAGGGATTATTTGGTTACAAAGAAGAGAACCTATTGGAATTAGTTGGAATTTATTGGGGTTTACAGTCAGGATACAAGGATTTGACAGGCAACTCCCAGACACTGAAATTGGCAATGAAGGCTCTATGGGCCACTCATGATGGATCTGGGGTGCTGGGATCCCAAGTTTTCCCTGCTTCTCATGGGCCTCAGGGTCCCCCTTTCTCTGTTTTTCTCTGTGTCTGCTCCTGTCTCCCGCTTCTCTGCCTTTCCACTTACTCATCAGCACACTTCCCAGACTTGGTTCTACATAACCACCATCGTTTGACCATCTCCGTGTCTCTCAGGTTAATGTCTTGAGAGGGTAAAAAAGGAGGAGGAACTATACCTGGCACAGCCCTGCCTATGGCCTGGGTCCCTTGCATTAGCTGAGCATTGCGGTCCGTCATCTGTGGCCAGGGTTGTGGAAGAGCAGGGTAAACGAGGCCCCTCCTTCCAGGGGCGTTGGGAAGTCAAATTCCCCAAGAAGAAGGTGGATAAGGGGAGGCTCTCACCAGCATCTCTGGCATGCCTACCCCAATGCCAGAAGTCTCTCACATGTACACTCCTGTATATGTGTGTGTGTGCACATGCATGCTCACATGTACACACACACACACACACACACACACCCCACATGTAGTAGATTAAACCAATCCAAGAGTTACTGCCATGAATTCAAATTGTAATAGTCAAATATACACATGATGTGTCTTCCTTGATTTGGTTCCTATAGAGATGTCTTATCTTTCTCTGAAACCTCATCTGCTACAGATAACACCTCTCCATTGTAACCCAAGGAGGTCTGAATCAACTCTCCCTCAGCGATGGTTACTTCTACCAACTCTGGCTGCCACCGGGGCTAGGATGGTACAGTCTCCCTCACAGACTACACATTATCAACGGCTATGAGTCAAGTAGCCCACAACCAAGCCTAATGTAGAGTCGACTTTCCAAGAACACGCTGGCCCCTGTCAGCTCTAACAACTAGACCTCAGCATAAGCTATCAACCCGGTGATTTGACTCATGAAAGCAGAGCTCTTTGTTATCCTGTGTACATAGGAACCTCAGATTCCCCTCAGTGTTTTCTTTCATGCTTGTTGCATCATTTGGAATTGCCCAGGGAACCTGGTGTATCAACTAATCTTAGCCGTGAGGCATTTTAAAGCAGTGAATCAAGAGCCCTGTGTCCAGCTTCCTAGAACCACTCACCTTTGCTGGACAGGGCAGCCCCTGACCAGGCTCAACAGGCTCCCTCATTCCCCATACCCTTTCCCCTGAGCCTCACATCCCTTTAACAGGGGCAGAGCCTTTATCCCCAGTCAGAGGAAATGCAGAAAAAGTAGAGACATCTCAGGCAGAAAGAAACCTGAAAACTGACGACCTCAGAAATCCTTAAAGAGAAAAGGCATATGGTTCCTTCCCAGACCCCCTTTGTTAGGGGTAAGAATAGGGATACCTGAGTAAACACCTATATTTATCTGTTTCTCCCATCCACTCAAGATCATATGCTTAGAGACTTCCATGAATAATTAGGTAAGTGTTTGCTAGAATATTCTCTCCTGAAAAGCCTGTTGGAGAGGTGTCCAATCTTTTCAGGTTTACCTCAACCTGGCTGCCCTGGCAACTCTTCTCAAATGCCAAGGGGTCCAGGCCAGTGCGGTTAGGCCAGTGGTACTGCCCCTTGCCACAGGGCCCAGGAGACCCTCACCTGTGACAGGCGGGGCACAGACAGTGTTCTCAGCCCCCCCCCCCCGTGTCTGTCTAGGTGTGTGGGCGACTCCGAATGCCAACTTTGCCATGGAGCCCTCGTTTGAAAAGGGGCGCCATGGTTCTCACATCAGCCATTGCCCTTAGGGGTCCCATCGCTGCAGAGTCGCTGGTCTGGCTGGCTCAGTCATCTGTCTTCACAGGCCTCCTTCCCAGGCTTTTGCCTAGGGGTCCATAGCGGTTGGGGCTCTTCTGATCTCTCCGAACAAAGCCCACAAAGTGTTCATGCACCTGTCCCCTTCCCCCATAGTCAAGCTGGATGGCCATTAGGAAAATCCCCAACTGTAAAACACCAAAGAGCCTGTCCCCTCTCCCTGACAGGCAGGAGCATCCAGACCCCAGACCCTCCTTCCATTCTTTCCTAAGGAACAGCTCCTCACCACCCCGCCTGCTCAGCGGCTGACAGTGTGACTTCTTGTTATAGCAGCAAACCACACACAAACAAAAGAGAGAACAAATCAAAACCAAACCAGATCTAATTCTCGGTTCTGTAGGTTCTTCCCCTGCACCCCTCCCACACACAAACACCTTTTCCAGTTACTTTCCTTTCCAGTGAATACAGGAGTAGGGATAAAGAGAAGAGGCGGTAGGAGAGGGGCCACCATTCTGTTTAAAAGGACACAGGTGCCCTCACTGGATGGGTGTTGGAGCAAGGAAGAAAATGGCACAGGGCGAGGGAGTATAAGTTAAATTGATTAATTCCACCATTTTTGAGCACCAGCGATGCATCTGGCACCGTGTTGCCTGTGAAGTAACTGGGATACAAAGAAGCATAAGCGCTCCTCTGGCCTGGAGAAGCTGGCTGAGGCCGCCTGCAGACAGTGTGAGAGAACTGCGGGGTGCGGGTGGGAGCCCTGTGCCTGCTAGCACAGCGGCCCACAAAGGAGACCCGGAGAGAGCTCACTGCCACTCCTCCTGAAGGTCTGTGCCACCAGCATGGCTGCCTTTGCTGTGAGTGTGGGCCTGGCCCTGCGTGCTCTCTTCCTCCAGGGGACCTGTGGTGTAGGGGTGCTTGAATGGTGGAATCTGGGTGCCGTGTCCTAGGGTTTGGGTCCCTGAAGCCCATAGTTCCAGTAACTGCATAAACATGGACAGAGATATAAAGGCGACCCCCGAGATATAAAGGGGATCAGGTTCACTGGCCAGCCCCCAATGCCCACGGAACTGCTAAGGAAACTTTTTTTTTAAATATATTTTATTGATTTTTTACAGAGAGGAAGGGAGAGGAATAGAGAGTTAGAAACATCGATGAGAGAGAAACATCGATTAGCTGCCTCCTGCACACCTCCCACTGGGGATGTGCCCGCAACCAAGGTACATGCCCTTGACTGGAATCGAACCTGGGACCTTTCAGTCCGCAGGCCGACGCTCTATCCACTGAGCCAAACCGGTCAGGGCAAAGGAAACTTAACTGAACGCGCACAGCAGCACTTCTGGTTCTCATCCTAAGCCTTTATAGATTATGTAACGGTCTGTAGGCTGTGAGCAATCCATCTGTAGGAAATGTGTTCCAGGTTCTAAGTCAATGGATGTGTGGAACACAACTCCTTGATTAGCAAATTAGACACTTGCAGTAGCGTTAGCTAGATTTCAGGGAAGTCTCTTTAAATACTTTAAGCACCAGCTTGAGCCACTCACTGCTGGGCCAGACATGCCATGGGAGAAGGCTTCCCAGGTCTTTCGGGGGGGGGGGCGGGGGTGCCTGCCCCAAAGATTCCAGCCCTGCCTTTGAGCTGCCCCATTCACCCCACTGGGCTGAGACCCCGGTAGAACCAGGAGGACTCAGGGTGTCAGAAGTCAGGAACAAGAGGGCAAGGGGCTTTGGGGCCCATTCAGCCTCTGTGTGATTCTGGCCCAGCCGGGTCCTTGGTGCTGGGACCACGTGTTTTCAAAAGGAGATGGCAGTTGGGCCAATGGACAACAGAACATCATAATGGCAGAAACAGCTTCAGGACTGGACCCAGAAGCTGTAACTACCGGAGAAAAACCCCACAACAAATTCCATACTATGGCCCTTATCCCTGGACCAGGGCGGGGAAGGAAGCAGAGACTCACCTTAACTTGGTGAAAACAGGGCAACGTGAAGAACACTGTGTAGTCAGGCTGAAAATTAAATAGATGTGAGTGTTTCTTTAATTCAAAGGTTTAATTGTTCTGACGGTTTCCATAACTTAATCTGAGCCATCACTTCAGCTTTAATTATGAATAATGAAATGGATTATTTGCAGTAACTAATATGACAGGGAAAACTGAGAGGTGAGAAATTGGTAACTTGGCAACTGGGTATTCATCTTCTTTTCAGTCCATGTTTATTTAGTATCTACTGCGTTTCAGCCTCTGCCACAGGGGGGAAAATAGTATCATATAGGCCATACTACGGGCCAGTTTCTTTCACTTCCTTATCTCATGTCCTGCTCTAAATAATACTCCATGCAGGTATTACTGCTCTGATTTATAGAAGCACAACTGAGACTCTAAAAGGTTAGGTCATTTGCCTAAGGTCACAGCGCAAAACCTATGCTTTTGCCACCTAACCTGTCTCACACCAAAACCTACAGACTGACACTCTGAATCTTACTTCCTGCTTCATGCAGGTAAAGTCAGCTCTTCCTAGGGTGACGGTTGCTTTGTATTTGAAGCAAGCAAGACAAAAATGTACTTTTGGGAAATTAGCCTGACAGTTGTCTGTGGAGTGCATCGGATGCTACTGAGATGGACCTTAGCCAAAATGGTGGCAGCAAGACTGGGAAAGGGGCTGTAGGAGGCACCCCGGAGGCTAGAAGGGGCCTGCTAAGGCTTTGGATGTGGTGGGCAGGGAAGGAAGACAGCCTTGCTGCCCTGAGTTTGGGAAGCAGGGGACACAAAGTTCCAGCTTGGCCACTGACGAGTGGCTTAACCTGGGGCCAGTCACTCAACCTCTCTGAGCCTTGCTTTCTGTGTGCCCGGAAGGCGCTA